CTGAGCTAAGCTAACCAGCTGCTGGCTATAGCTTCATATTGAGTACACAGACATGACAGTAGTATCAAACTTCTCGTCTAACTCTTGTCAACAAAGTGAATACGTGTATTTCCCAAAATGTCAAACAAGACATTTTTGGTGCAGCTGTAATTACAGTAAGGCAATATGGAGAAAATCAAATATCACAATATTTTTGACCAAATAATTTAACATCAATATTGTTGGGCTGACTATTGGTGCTTTCACAAAATATTGATAATGATATTTTTGATAAATAATCATTAGTAATGTGGATATAACGACTAAGTGAGTAAAGGCAAATAAAAGAACAGCTGGAACAGTCTGAAAAGTTCAGAAAATTACATCACTTTACTATAATGCAGCTTTTAAAAACAGGGAAGACAACACTTAAGATAATATCCAAAATCTGAGACAATATCTAGTCTCATATCACAATATTGATATGATATTGATATATTGGTCAGCCCCAACTGTGATCACACAAATTTGTCTTGGACATCAATAATTTACATGAATTTTTCCTCTTCAAAATAGAAGCGTAAGAGTTCCTTCTAAACTCATTATTTTTAAACAACAGTCATTAAACCATGTAAAAACAAACCAGTCAATAAGGAGTCAATGAAACCTGTTTCTACACAGGATGCAGCTTCAACTGACTTATGTGCACCACAGGCCAGAGACACACTGCATTTACAGCGAGAGTTTCTGATGTTTCGTTAGCTGCAAATCACTGATTGAAGTAGACAAAACACAAGCAAAGTGCAACGACATACAGCTTGTGAGTATTTCAAGCCCTTCGCACACCAAGTCCGTATTTTTCGACTGGAACTGCTGCACGTTTAAAAATAGATGTGACCTTTCCTTGTGTCAATCACACTCACTAATCAACTCTGAACGTTTTGTCTGTCATTAGAGTTTTCGTCAAGAGCCTTGAGTTGTTTAAACAAGAAGCAGTGAAGACAATGTGGTGTAACCTGCAGGACACATATATTTAAACAACATGAAAAATGTCTGCACACCGTAGCTCCCTTAAGTGCATTTTACTGGCACATCCACATGTGATGTTTTCATGAATATATATACATCTGCAACATTAGAGAGGAACGGGGCGCACAGTAACGTTTCATAACTCAGAAAACCTCCTTTCAACAGATCAGATGGTAATGTTAGGGTGAATGATGATGATGACTGGAAGGATAAACTAGAGGATGAAGATGGCACACAGACAGACAGATAGAGATAGACAGTGTGGAGACAGAGAGGGAGGACAGCTCATGTCCTTCATGTAGAGGTGGTGCCAAATACAAGACGGGGGCGGAGAGTGGTGACTGCCAGGGAGGTAACTCAACTGGACAGAAGCAAGGAAGGAAATGTGTCTTGTATTTTCAGTTTTTGCAACGAGTAGAACAATCAAATGCATCAGACTCTGTGTGCAAGGTTTCTGTGTGTAACGATTTTTATCAGATGGTGGATTTTGAAGAAAAAAACAGACTTGATGTTCAAAGGCCTCCTCTGATTGGAGGAGACGGTCTTAAAATCCATTCAGCTCACTGCTGTCTGGAAGGTTTCAGCTCAGCATTTACTGTTCTGCCCTCTGAATATCAAGACTTTTCTCATGTCAACAAAGAGTTGGGGGCAGGTAAGGGTGTGTGTGTGTGTGTGTGTGTGTGTGTGTGTGTGTGTGTGTGTGCGTGTTGAGCAATGACAAGAGGAATGACGGGGTGTTTGCGCCGTGGACTGTTTTTCCATTCAGCAACAACAAATGAGCCTCAGAGAGTGAAAACAATGAGTGTGTCTTTTCTGTCCCCGCATAAATATCTGTGTGTGCGTGCACATGAGTGTATGAATGATTACAGCTGACGATCAAAGCCTCCTCCCTCCTTGCTGAGAGACGCCAGGCTGTGAACCTGAGATGATTAGAAGCCACAGGAAAACTTAACGAGCTGTCTGAGCCCAGGCGGCCGCCATCATTATGACTGAACATGTCTATGGTGTGCGCATGGCCAAGGCGCCATAACGAGGGGACACGGGCAATGCCTTTCATTTACATAGACGCAAACACGGGACGAACACGGCTATTAATCTCCAGCAGCTCCACTAACCCCTTGAAACTGTGGGAGGCTGGGTTAATTTCCTGTTCTGGTCTCTACGAGGTCAAGTTTAAGAGGATCCAGCCCCACAGAGAAGGTAGATGAACACCTGGGGGCTGAGCTTAATTTGATATAAAATATTAATCCTCAAAGACCCCTCCTAGTCTTCTTTTTCATTACTAAACATCCACTCTTCTAGGGAGATTTATAATTGCTCCGGGGAAGAAACCAGAGAGTATTTTTAGGTACAGCTCTGGACAGAGGACTTTATCGATTCATTTCCTTTATATTAGTTGGCGTCTTTACTAGACAGGAGGGTTTACTGTGTGGAGCTGCACTGATCTCCACCCAGTCACAATAAAGTCTGAAGTCATTCAGTGGGAAGACGATGAAGGCAAACTTTGAATCCATGAGCTAATGTGATTAAGATTACTGACCCCCAGTCCTTTGCCTCAGTTGCAGGAAACCATTTTATATTCCACTTTCTAAATCAAAGTACAGCTGCATAAAACAACATTATATTATAGATGTATGATATAAAACCTTTTCAGTGCACTTTGTATTCACATCCCATTATTACTATAACTTCTGTTGCATTACTTTGTTTACAATTACTTGAAGAATCTCCATATAAGAGACAATGATCCACTAAAATAGCTGAACTTGAAAGTATGGTCAAACACAAGATAAAGCCAAGACGGGAAAAAGACTCCCATGATTGCAGTGTACAAGTGCTCAAGTCATCAGACCACTCCTAACGATTATGTGATTAGCAGGGGTGGGATAAAAAAGTCAATCCACTTGAAGGGATACTTTGCAGATTTTCCACCAGTTTTGCATTATAACAATATGGGTAAGTAGCATGTCTTAATGAATATGTGAAACTTCCCTCCACCTTGCAAATGCCCAGATATCGGTGCCATAAATGCCTCAGCCGACAGATACTTGCTGGCTCTTGGGCTGTTGCTCGGACTACAGATTGTAGCCCCTCATTTCTGTATGCCTACTGCCACCACAGACACAAAGAGTGTATAAGAGGATTGAGAGAAAGAGCTCAACGTTTTCCAATTAGCCAAAAGCAACTCACATCATGTCACCCACCAACAACAATTTTATTGGTCATATGCATATTCTGGTAGTTGTAGGTTTTCTACCTCTAAAAAGCAAATGCCACAGTAATTTTCCTCTGTTTTCCCTAGTCATCCATCCATTTTCGTAACCGCTTACCCTGTTGGGGGTCTGACACTCACATTAACACCTATGGGCAATTTAGAGTCACCAATTCACCTGCATGTCTTTGGACTGTGGGAGGAAGCCAGAGTACCAGGAGAAAACCCACACTGACATGGGGAGAACATGCAAACTCCGCACAGTTCCCTCCTGGGATTGAACCAAGACCCCTCTTGAAGTGAGGCGACAGTGCTAACCACTACACCACTGTGCCACCCTCTCTAGTCATATAGCAACAATTTCAAAAGTATTTGCTTCTTTCTAATGCATAGACTTTCCTTCCAGCAGTGAAATACTTCTTTAAGTATTGCAATTTTTTCAAAAACATTTTTAAATCTATTTTTTTAGTGCTGGAATCGATACAATTTAAATTCAGTTGCTTCATGAAGGTCTATTTGTTCTCTACGAGTAACGTAATGTCATATTAATTTCAAGACAAACAAAACCAAAGCAATAAAGCAGAATATGGCAGACAGGCCGAGACCCATAGGGATACAACTTGCATCCCCACATATTAAATTCCAAAATATGCAAACACTTTAGGTTTAACACATTGCCAGGAAAAGCAGAGCTTCACATAGCTGAAACTGCATGCAGACTCTGAATCTATCATGGACAGGTATCGTATTGTGGTGATATGACCAACATGAGAGTCCATCTTTCTTAAAACCACACAGAGATAAACATGGAGTTCGCCAAATGACCTCCAGCAAGCCAGTGGACTGTAGAGGGAACACTCAATGAACCACCCAGTGGTTTAAATAGGGCAAAATGCATCTCATACTAAAAGAGAGAACTTTTTCCATATAGTGTGGTGGAAAATACACGTTTTCGAAACACAATTTACCCCTCTGTCTGAGCTGTGGTATGTGTTATATCATTAAGTATATATTTTGAATTCATTCTATTGTACATGTACACTTTATTTACCACTTTTCTATACAATATATATATATATAGAAAGACTGACATGATGAGCCTATCTCAGCTGACATTGCAAGAGACAATATAACATTTAGGTTAAATGATATCAACCCATACGACGGACTTTGGCTGATGTGTGGCATCCCTGTTTGCCGGACTTTTAGGTACTTCTGTTTTATGAAGCACTAAGTCGGTCATATCAGACCAGAGTCATAATTTCAACTTGGTGGGAACTTGGTGGGAATTTGATGGGAACACTATTGAAGAAACTTGTAATGACATGACCACAGCATAACCTCCCCACACGAACAGGTGCCAAGATAACTAATAAAATGATCATAGAGATGTCAATCAAGTCACAGTGTGTACATTCCCACAGAGCCCTCAGATGAGATAATAACACCTGTGTGGGAGAATCATGGATGTGAACGGCTTATAATGCTGCCAAATTACGCAATTTCAGGGAGTGCTCCTGTGATTTACTGCATGACACCTCCATGACCTTGGGAACTTGCAAATAAGATAAACAGAGCAGAAGCAGAGAAATCCTGACTTCATGTCACTCCAAAAACGCAGCATGCTACACTTCCATTGAACTCCACACCTTCAATAAAACACATCTTTCTCAGACTCTTGAAAACCTTCCCAGAGCCACAGACTTTTTCCTCTGATTCTGGAAACACAAAATGACGTTCAGTTATCTCTGTTCCGACCTCAGTGTGAATCAGCACTTACCTCTATCTGGGAACTGTTGTCTGTTTCCTCTGCAGACAGCAGGCCTGGGAAACCCTCAGGCTCCTCCTGCTCAGGATCCTGGTCCTGCTCCTGACTGGCCCTGTTACTGTCCATATTACGTGGTTTCGGGGGGAGCCATCTTCTCCACCGGTGACTGTACAGCTTCACGTCCACTGCAGCGTCCTCATCTCCTGCCTGCCCCTGCACGTATGAGTAAGAGACCCCTGGGGAGACAGGAAAACAAAGTGTGAGTTACAAAAGAAAACATCGGTGTTGCATGCCATGAAACCAAATCACATTAAAACTGTAATAGCATGTCGATTAAAATACATTGGGTCATCATAAATATACTTTAATAAAGCGCGCTCAGTATCATTTTTCAACCTAATTAACTTTAATAAACCCTGTGTTAGTCTGAAAGGAAAATGTGTTGCCATGTTTTGCAAATTTGCGGCTCATACAGGCAAAATAATTACATGGGACACTAATATTTTTACTTTACTCTAAGGCAATAGTCAAATCACAGAGGCGGAGACTATTCAAGCCATTAATCTTGTGCCGCTCCCTCATAACTCACTGTCCCTGCGGACTTTTCTCATTGCAGGGGGGAGAAATCTCACTGCCTGAAACAGATGCACATTAGCAATGACTCAGCAGCCATCACACAGACCAGTGGGCCACAGTCATACACAATCATCCCCATTCCAGAGTCTGAAATGAGATGCCGCTGACAGGTGAAAAATGGTTCTGTGTTAATGTAAAGACTGACTTGATTAACCGAACCTGAGATGGGGTGGAATCTGCTGCATCATTATAAGAAACAAGTTTTATGAATTGAAATTGAGTCAGAATATGGAAGAAAAGGGCTTAAAACAGAAAATGAAAAGTTATGTTCTTCTTCTTTGGTTCCATTCAACAATATAAGCATTACAGTGCTCCTTCTGACTGCCTTCTGCTCAGCCTGGAGATGCTTTAACACTCCACCTGTTTGGTTCAAACAAACTCAGGTGTGCTCGCTAGTTTGATTCAGTTTGTTTAGACTGGTGTAAAAGTTGTTAATCTCTATGAAAAGGTGGGTCTCCATCTTTGTAGTGTGAAAACACAAATCTATAAGCTTAACTACTAAATGTATCTACTGATCTAGGACTGTCATATTACAAGAAACTTACTGTATATATTACGCAAGATACTTTAATAACAATGCTCAGTCAATCTAAAAGTGAAAAGGAGTTTAAATTAGGGCTTTAGCAAATGGTTTGAAGCTTCAAAGCTTTATTCGTAACATTGACATTTGAATTCCGAATTAACATTTGAATGCTGCATGTCTGTTCATTTGTTTAAACCCCATATTTCTGCACAGTTGAACATTACACTATTTGTAGAATTAGATTCCAGTGGTGGCTGCATAGGATTGTTTCGTGATTCAAACATTTCCAATAACTCCAGAGCGCTGTGCACCCCAAATGTCAAAATTTATTGAAAAAGGATGGATGAAATCATTTTCAGCTTGTCACACACAAAGGGAGGCACGCACCTGTATTAACTGGGCAGTCTGACAGCAGTATGTGTTTTGTTTAAGGCTGATGACATCATAAAATACGATGACAGACATTTGAAGTTTCATTCGAAAATCTCAATACAAGCTTTGAATGTTAAAAAAAGACATTCGGTGCAGCCCTGGTTGAAATAGAGGAATATTGTGCTTGTGTCCTACTACCGTTATGTGTATTTTAGCAAATCCTTATTACAAGTCAGTAAAACGTACATTAGAAATCACACCATAATCAATCTTTCCAAAATACTTCGGTACAAGACACTTCTTGTTATTCTTGACATTTGAGATCTAGTTGCAATCTTGACTAACAACGCTCATAATGAGTTATTTTTCTGTGAGAACTTTGTGACAACAGAGAAAAAAAGTAAACCCATAAGCAGTTAAGTCAGTCACCAGGATTTGATTTGGTACATGTAATGCTGACAATGCAGGGCAACGTTTAGGAAAATCTGTCCAAGTAATGAGTTGGACAGTTGCTGTCTGCAACAGATTCATGGCACCTAATTTATCTATGTGTGTTCTGCAGTCTTTCAGTGCTGCATTTCATTGGTGGAAAGTAATTAAGTACATTTACATAAGTATTGTATTTAAGTACAATCTGAAGGTACTATACTTGAGTGTTTTAATTGTATGGTACCATATTCTATGAGGAAATATTGCACTTTTTTGGTACTTTTTCTCCACTACTTCTATCTGACAGCTGGAGTAACTAGTTACTTTTCAGATTTTACAAACAAAACACATGATCAATTTGTAAAATACGATACTGCGCTACAGATTAAAACAATAGTATAAAGTTATTAAAATGTGTTCCACCTCCATTGGCGTCAGTAATTATATTCAAATAATATGAAATGTGTAATAATGACTCTCTAAAAAGGACCATTCTCCCAACATGTACTTTTACTTTAATACTTTAAATACATTATGCTGTTATTATGTTTGTATTTTTACTTGAATGTAACATTCCCTGCTTGCTCACATGGGTTTCCCCAACTTACATCAGAGATGCTAAGTGGCATGTAGGTATGAATGAGAGTGGGAAGAGATGCTCTGTTTATCTGTGAGTCCTGTGATGGACTGCAGACTTGTTTCCTTGCCTTCGGGCTAATGCTCGGCATGCTTGTATAAGCTTCTGCTCCCCATGACTCTAATAGGATTACGCGGTTCAAGACAATTACTAATAAACTTCGTTTTCATAGCACTTATCCACACACAAAGTTTACAAAGTGCTTGCACGCTGTTGCAGAGATGCAGATTGTTTTGGCTTTAGGATAGAAAATACTGCTGATTCCTCTACTGTTACTCCATGTTGCTTCTTTTCTATTAGACAGAGGTCACTGGGTTTAACTAGCAGAGCGTGTTTCCATTCCTTGTCCGTCATTCTCTCAACACTTGCATTTCTTCCTCCTCCTCCTTTCTCTGGGCCCTCAACTAGTGGTGCTCACGAGAGGAGGAGAACACAAGTGGAGGGGCTTCAGATGCTAATTCATCCAAAAGTGGAAGCTGACAGATTCACTTTATAATGAGCATTGGCAAAACAAGAAGCAAAGAGAACAATCTGCCCATAGAGATGGGTGTTGATGTACGTTGGAAGAATTTAACTGAGCAGAAGGCACAAGCATGAAAGCGGGCTGAGTGCAGTTTGCAGCTAATTGTTTCTGGAGACAAAGAAGACGAACAATTAAAAGTTAGTGTTCACCTTTAATCAGTAATGTTAAAGACCACAAACCAAGCCAGAAATCTTAGGCTAATTCAGACCGACAATTTAACACCCACTTTAAGACAACGTTTAATTACAAAAACTAAAAGACTCAAGAGTGTCATGCTTTCATCTTTAACAGGCGATGACTGTAATGGTGCCTTTACAGGACCATTTTCTAATCCAAAATGAAAGCTAGAATTACCACCCCACAGTTGTATGCCTCCATACAAAAGTCAAGTTTCTCTTACAGTTTACATCCATGTCTGTGAAAACATGGATGCGTCACACACACACACCTTCACCTCCAGCAGCATAGACGATCTACACAATCAGCACAGTTTCAAGGTGGACACCTAAGACTCGTGTCACCAATTCAGTATATGACCAAATGTCTCCAACTTCTGTTCCTGAGATATGAAATTGAGAAATGGCCATAATGCAAAACATTATGAAGTCACAGTGAAGCTGACTTTTGACCTTTTGGATGTAAAATGTGATCACTTTATCATTATATCCTATTAGACATTTGTGTGACATTTTGTCATAATTAGCATTTGAATTCTTGAGTTATGGCCAAAAACATATTTTGTGAGGTCACACTGACCTTGACTTTTGATCACAAAATTCTAATCAGTTTATTCTTCAGTCTAAGTGGACATTTGTGCCAAATTTAAAGAAATTCCCTCAAGGTGTTCTTGAGACATGGTGTTCATGAGAATGAGATGGATGCAAGGTCACACTGATATTGATGTTTGACTGCCAAAATCTAATCACTTCTTTGTTGAGTCCAAGTGAATGTTTTTGCCACATCTTAAGAAATCCCCTTAAGGTGTTCTTGAGATATCACATTTACAAGAGTAAGACAGACAGACAAGGCAACAGGGACCTTGACTTCTGACCACCAAAATCTAATTAGTTCACCTCTGAGTCCAACTGGACATTTCTGCCAAATTTGAAAAAGGCGTTCGCAAAATATTGCATTCACAAGAATGAGACTGATGCAAGGTCACAGTGACCTTGATACTGACCACCAAAATCTAATCAGTTCATCGAGTCCAATCATTGAATGTTTGTGCAAAATTTGAAAAAAATTCCCACAAGGTTTTCTTAAAATATCACGTTAACAAGAATGGGACAGATGGACTGAGGGATAGATGGCCAGATGGACAACCGGAAAACATAATGCCTCTGGCTACAGCTATCATCAGCGTAGAAGCATAATTACTGATTCACACTGGGAATGTTGCGATACTTTCATTGTAAATAAAGTGCCAGAGTGCATGAAAAAGCATCAAAATAAAACTTTTTTTAATTAAAAAAAAAAAAAAAAAAAAAAAAGTTCCCGGGGAAGATCCCCCAGATCCCCTAACAGAGGTCTGGGCTAAGCCTTGAATGTCCTAAAATCCTAGAAACACCCCTGTGCACACCTGACCCACACAGGGCTGCGGTGACTGGCCCCTGGCCTCCTGTCATTTTGCAAAAGTGGCCACCACACAAAGGAAGTTGAGTATCCCTGGACTAGACTCACAACGTGCATTCCTGTGTATGTAGATATTGAGATACTGTTGATGCTAACAACCCTGCCCACAATTGTTCTGTCTGTTTTTTGTCACAGCGTGCAAGTCATTTTTGCCAACTGAAATTTGTGTTCTGTTCGTTCACATCGCCATTGCTCCTTAAGTAACAACCAGCAGTAACAAGGCTGTTGCAATTTATGGTCAGCAAAATGTCAGATTGTGCATTTTGGGAATGCCCCGCTAGAGAAAAAGGCATGACGGAATGCGCCGCCTTTACACCAACAGCGTGTCCACACCAAGCTGTTCTCATGCAATGTTTGGACATATACAGTACAGGCCAAAAGTTTGGACACACCTTCTCATTCAATGTGTTTTCTTTATTTTCATGACTATTTACATTGTGGATTCTCACTGAAGGCATCAAAACTATGAATGAACACGTGGAGT